TCTGTCACTACCGATTTTGTCAGGCCAATAGAAGGGCCAGGTCCAAAAAGTATATGGTTGGCTGCTTTCTTGGCTAGTGAATCGGCAAGACGGTTACCTTTCGATATGGCGTGACCTTTGATCCATCTTAAGGTAATCACATTGTTGATGGATACTTCGGCCAAAGCTTCATGACATTCTAGTACTAACCACTGTTGTCGTTGTCCTCTGAAAGAAAACATTCAGTTAATAACTGAATACCTAGCGATAGACAAACTGCAATGGGCGTGTTTAGTGTAAACGAATTTAACAAATCTAATACTATTACCTGTTTAAGCACAAAAAAATTTTTTTTCATGCAATAAATTCTTTAAATAGATAATAAATAATAAAGTTAGAGTACTTTAAAAAGTTCACTTTTAAATCAGTTATTTAAAACACTTTATTTTTGCGCCATTAACCGCGTCATAATGAAGCGCCTATTTCTATTGGTCACTAAAGAATCTGTGATACCGTAACACTAGACAGTTGATCGTTATCTTTTTCTAATAGTGACATTTATGATAGTTATCTCTTTCTAAAATCAGATTAAAATTATGTTTTCATTTCTCATGATACATAAATGTCAAAATTTCTAACCTCAAATCGATTATTGGAAACAAAACATTGAAATTGCTTTTAAAAAGTGTGATAAAATAAACATTTGTTTAATTTTGTGTAACATTAAAAATATCTGGTTAAGTACTTAGTCCCTATGAGGAGTAAAAAAACCAGTCAATCCACGTCGGACGGCTTCGAGAATTTCGCAGTAATGTTTACCTGCCAGTGTCGTTTCATAGAATAAATATTTTTAAATTGTTATCGGCGGAACCGGACAATCGCATGTATTTATGGACTATAAATAATTATTAAACACGTATTATAATATTCAAATCATAATTTTACAAAATTTCAACAGCTATTCACAATTTTATTAAACTATTTACTCGAAATTGTTATTAACATCTATAAAATAATTTTGTACGCCAATGTATCGCGTCCACTTCGGTGAGATCCACCGCAAACCTGTCAATTTATGTGTATAAAGTGGGAGAACTGGCAAAAGCCTTTCTAACTTTTACTTCTGCTTTAAATTATACGATCTTAATCTTTAAATTGTCTGTTATCCGGAATTTCAATAATTCTTTAAAGGAAGCGGCAACAAGGTAAAAACATATCGACTATTGTCTGGAAGGTCATAAATTAGCCAATCAGATTTTAGGCTTCATTATGACGATGCTTAAAAATAATTGTGGCGCAGGTTTCAAATTTTTTTTTTAATTGTAAAAAATTCTTGTAGGAAAATTTGAAAAGAGAAAAATTTCAAAAAAATATTTTTAGATTAGATTTTGTGCTAACACGCCCATTCAGTTCTATAGCTGAATTTACCAAACATTTTCGCGAATTCCAATTATGAATTAAAAAAATTTCATATTTGGAAAAACCTCGAAGAAAATATTATTAAGCAGTTTAGACTAGTGATGCCACGAGATTCTCGTCTCAACGAGACAAGAGAGATAGTTTTTCTCGAAAAAAGATTCGAGATGAGACGAGAGAGTGTCATCTCTTAACGAGAATTTCTCGCTTCTCTCAAGCAATTTATTTTTGGCTAATTTAAAATTTTCAATTTCTTATCGTAACTTAAAATTTAAACATCAAATTTCCAGATAGTCAAAAAGTTAACTATAACCCACGTATTCTATATACAGGGTGTTATAAAAAAGTGTCACAAAATGAAATGGTGAATAGTATGACCCAAAATAAGCAGAAAAGTCTTAATAAATATATGACCGCAAATTAACGGTTTCGGAGATACGGACCATTTTGTGTTTAAAACAATTTTTTATTATTATAAAAAAACAATGATATTTATAAACAATCAATAACAACATAGAGTTAAATGAGATGTTCAAAGTGCCCTCCCTCCATTTCAATGCATTGCCATTTGCACGACCGTACATAAAATGCATGTCAGCTAATTCAATATTAGTGTAAACAGGCATAACGAAAATTTATAAAATTATTCACCCACAACAAAATAATAACTGCAAATAGTATCTATGAAAAAACATCGGTAGACTCCAATAAGAAAAGCAAGTTTTTGAGAATGAAAAAAGATAATCAAAAATGATACAAAACACTCCGTATTTCTGAAACCATTCATTTGCGGACATATATTTATTAAGAATTTTCTGCATATTTTGGCCCATACTACCCCCCCCCCCCCGTTTTATTTTGTGACACTTTTTTTTTAACACTTTGTATATTAAATGCTAACAAATAATACGTATATAATTGGGATTTTATCAATAGTGATTTATAAGAAAAAATTTTTCCATGTAAATTATTTACAATTAATCTTAATTGGAAGCTGGAAGAAGTTTCTGATCCACATAAAATTAAAATTTCACACAAAAAAGGTTATCATCGTGATTTCAGTAAATATTCCAATCAATGATAAGTGTACATTAGCAATGTTTGAATTTTTATCAAATTTAATGCTTGATTATGGATTTCGAAGTGATGCAGACCTTTGCAAGATTTTTTTTGCGAAATGTAAGATAAACATTTTTTCATTTATATTAAACTTTTTGGAACACAATTTTTATGTAAAATTTTGTTGTACCTACAACTTGTTAGGTTACCTACAGCAATTTTTAATATCGCGAATTATTCCAGACCAGAGACAAACAAGTCATTATTATACTAGTTTAAAAGCTCAATAAAAAAGTTTGACCAAATGAAATAGCGCAATAGTGTTCCACTATTGCGTAATCTCCAAACCATGAAAAAAATGAAAATCCGCCAAAATACTACATATAAAATAAATAGTTTTTTATTATTATTATTATTATTTTTTAATAATAATAATGATAATCTAGCCATTAACTTTTGTTCTATAGGTCAATAATTGGGGTTAAATAAATATTAAGAAAAATCGCTATAATTCAGAATTGTTTATTTAATTATACAGTATGTACAAAAAGTAACGTGGTAACTTGGTAAAAACAAAAATCAGTGTGACAAAGTACGAAAAAGTAGGTAGGTAATAGAAGTACTAAAAAGTAGGTAGGTAATAAAAGTACTAAAGAGTAAAAAAATTAAGTATTTAAAAATACAAAATGTAGGTTGAATATATAAAATATAATTATTAAAAAGTATAACGTGGTAAAATGGTAAAAGTAAAAATTGGTATGACAAAGGAAGAAAAAGTAGGTAGGTAATAGAAGTACTAAAACCAATCTTCAAATAATTCGGCAGTAGTGTCGTCATGGTAATCGACTAAGGAATCCTTAATATTTTTTGCCGATAACGACAATACATTAGGTATAAAACCATTATTGGTTCCTGCTTGTATTATAGTAATACGTTTTCCTTTATTATGTGGCGCATTAGTCTGGTACAAGTCAGATGAGTCTACCCAACTTTTGTTTGGAATATCGTGTATATCGAACCAAGTTTCATCCAAATACACAACTGTTCTGCCAGCTTCTCTAAAATCATTTATCGCCAATAAATATTGAAATCTCCATTGCTTAAGGCGTACAGATTCCATTAACTTTTTTGGTGTTATTACATTTTTTAAATTTAAACCTATTTATTAAAGGAGACTTCCTTAAAGTCTCTTTGCTACACTGGATGCCAGTTTCGTTCTTTTCAAGTCGTTGCATCAATATATTTAGTGTAGGCACAATTTTCTCTCTATACAAGTCATATATTTTCCTTCAAATTAGGTCTACATCACAGCCATCTAGTTTCTTTGAAGTACCAGAGTCTTTTCTTTTTCTTCTTTTTAAAATAGGGTTACTTACTATTTTAAATACTGTAGAATACGGCGTATTCGTTAAAGAGGCAGTTTCTTGCACTGCTTGAGTCTTGGTCATTCCACGTTCCATAAGGAAGGTATAAACACTTAATATTTTTTTCCCATCAACGTGTAAAACTTATCGATTAGTGGCATTACCACCACCAGTTGAAGTACTGGCTGCAGGTTCAACCCATGGACGGAACATTTTTCACTATATAAAATTTTTAAGACACTACGAAATAAACGCAACTGACACAACGGAATATTCGTTAATGACTAAATTTAGTTTAACTACTATCCTCCTTTCGTTTCTAAAAACGGTAATTGGTCAGTTCTCAAAACAGTTACATACTAACTAACTCCTTATTATTTATTTAACTTTCTCTAATCTGTCTGGAACTATAGGACTCGATATCTTAAACAATAGTATTATTTTCTTCAAAGTCTGGTAATTTATTTGTAACTTTATATCCCATTATAGCTAATCTCATTAAGAGCAATCCAGTCCCTTCTGACGTCACGGATCTAACGACCTCCCCTTAAAGTATTTGGAACCTTGTTCGCTACATAAATTTGGCAATGTCGTATGTTGTGTGCTGAAGAATAATCATAGGATTGGGTAGGGTTCCATTACAATTACATGAACACAGGTGTGTCATCAATTGGCGAATAATCAATTTTTTTTTCTTGCAGATATACTTTTTATAGTTTATAGTAAACTTTAAAACTTATCAAAAAACTGATTATTAATAGCTTTGTTCGCGGTAAGAATTCTGAACCGAATTATTACTAACAGTAACGATTTCGCAGGCGCAGTAGTTAAAAAGTATTCGCGGAACAAAAAGAACTGAACTACTGGTTCTATCCTGCGTTCGCGGTAAAATTATTATTGATTTTGAACCACTTGTCTATACCTGAAACACCGAGATATAATAGGGATTGCGCGCGCGGTAAAAATTCAGAATTGATAATGATTCGGGCATGCGCTCAAAGTATGAATTAGTAATTCTGAATCAGTAATTCTGAATCAGTTCAGGATTGTTACCGCGAACGAAGCTATTTTTATTTGTGGAATAGACGATTTTTGCATAACACGTATCGTCCAATTGTAAATTTAGTAATATATTTATTAATTCTCCATTTTATTATACTTTTATAAATATGTTTTTCCTAGGTCCCATCGGTAGTGCATTAGTAGACAAATATGGTTGCAGATCAATGACTATCATCGGAGGTATCGTTTGTACCTTAGGCCTCACTCTGAGCTCCTATGCCAGATCAATAGGGGTCATGTACTTAACTTTCGGGGTCATAGGAGGACTAGGATTGACTCTCTGCTTCGTGACAGCGGTCGTATCCATCGCATTTTGGTTTGAGAAAAATAGAACCATAGCACTGGGTCTAGCTGCAAGTGGTACCGGATTTGGTACTGCTATTTACTCGCCTCTGGCAACATGGTTTCTATTCGAATTTGGTTGGAGAGGTACGCTGTTGATAACTGCAGGTCTTTTTGCTAATATGTGTGTATGTGGAGCTTTGATGAGGGATCCAGACTGGATTATACAGGAAGAGTGAGTATTTTAGACATAAGTGTGCATTGTAATTTTAATTTCAATGAAATTAGATAAATTTTTCATTTAAAAATATCTCTTATTCTCGTTGGTTTAAATCAGATATGTACAGACAGGGTTAATCATTATAAATTGCCCACTATTATATTTTGTAAAAAAAAACATGAAAAACATAGAGGTGCCAATTTTACGGGATACAACAAAAAATTAACATCAAAATTATACCATGTGTTACCCGTATTTTATAGGGTTTTCGAATAATGGAACGTCGAATATCTTAGTTAAGCCATATAGTTACTGTAAATGGAAAAGTTAATATTATTAAAGCTATGAAAATAACAAATGTTATGTTCGATAAGTGACATTTCTTTAATAAAATTGTTAGGTATGAACGCGTATTTTCATTATTAATATTTTAATTATTATATATTCATATTTCTCATAACTGGATGCTAGTGACCCTTAATATTTTGTTCAAAAGAATGTACTACTTATTTTATGCCAATATTTCGGGAATCATTTGCGTCGGCGCACAGGTGTGCATTTGAAAACATACTTTTTTACCTTAAAGGTACCATTTCGGAAGGCGCGACAGACGACAACAGACGCGACGGCAAAGGAGACCAAGAACGGTCTCTTTACATCTGAACTCATGCAATTATTGGAAATACATTTCGCAAGGTGCGACCAGTGGGAGAGACAGAACTCGACGACAGGTAGATCGGTCTCAGGGTAGAGCGTTTGCTGCCTATCGCACTCAGTCCTCAGTCATAGCTTGTATTTCGAGGTGATTAGTCGATATTTTATAGAAATGGTAGTTGCAAAGTTCTTTCGATCTAGGTACTGTTGCCAGATGAACATTTGCTGGAACAGTATGGGTGAAAAAAAAACCGTAGACAGAGATAAACCAGCAAGACGTGTAACTAAATGTATTTTTTTTGTCGGTAAAAGTTGTTTGGGCGATTGTAACCACAACCAGTCTATGATGGCGCCACCAGTAAATAGCGGGAAATTTAAAAATGCTTTAGGGCAGGAAATTCAAAAATGGATTCAGAAATAGATTTTCTATACAAATTTACAGGAAAAACAAAAACTATAGTTTCACTGTATATTAAAAAATGTAAAAGCTTCCAATAATATCAAATTTTTTATCATATAAATAATTATTTTAATAAAGGAAGTTTTAATCAGTTTAATATAAGCAGTGAACATAGTTTTTATTACTCTTGTAAATTTCGCTAAAAAAACTTAAAAATTCTATTGATTATTAAATATTTAAACTTGGAAAAATAATACACCAAACTCTTTTTCTATAATTATATTTTTGTAAGATACAGAAAAACAAAGTACAATTGCTACGTTTAGAAAGTACCTCGTATCATTTTGTGACAAATTACAAAGAAAGTCACAGTTGTTACACATTCATAATATATTTAAAAAATAATGTAACAAATATTTTATGCCAGACTATCATAAGTACCATTTAAACAAATATCGCTTGCGTTAATCTGACAAAAAGGTATCGATATGTTATGACTGTTTATTTCAGTATAAACCATGGAAACGAAACAAACATACACACACACACATACACTCACACAAATGTCCCAGTCGAGTAAGTTCCCATCCTGTAAACTGGATCAAAAGCTACTAGACCCATTCCGTCCACCCCCTGCTAACTCCTCTTAGGGTCATCAAGATCAATAGATTTAGATACCATGCCTTCTAAAAGAGAATGAAGGATGACATACCATCATCATTTAAACAGGACGTTGTTGAAGGCTTACCCCTGTTACGTCGTCTGTTTGTGTATCTTGTGCGTGTGCATTCCTGTTGTGTCCCCAGTCATGTAAAAGTTTTCCTAGTCTCCTAATTTGGTGACTAGATGGACTTTCTCCAACTAGTTGTCTAATCTATTCGATCTACTCTGCAGCAGGAGGTATTTTTCAAACATAGCAAATAATAATATTAATAATAAACACTATTTAAAGATGAATACGTTTTTGTAATTTTTTGTCGTTGTCCCTTACCTGTCTCTTACACCACCAGGGTATACCTACTTACCATACTCCTTTAATTATTGATTACCTTACGATGTTTAAATGAATATAAACATTTTACCCATGAAAAGTCTAATTTCGAATTTAACTCTTTTTCAATTTCATTTGAAATAATTGGTATATTACAATTTATTATCAAAGAAATCTAATAAAGTTATAGCAGATCGTACTCAAACTACTGGTTGTTCTGCAGGATAAATTAACTTTTCTTGACATTAGCCTCTCTCTAAAATCCAAAACCGACCTGATGTCCCCAAATTTATTTTCCAATGCATCCTGATTTAAAATTCTGCCCTTTTGTGATTCAATTTTTTTTTCTTTGTTTAAATGACGCTTCAATGTTCTAATAGCCACTAGAGTGGCTATTAGAAGTAGGTGTATGTAAGAAATAGCCAATCTCTAATCATTTCAAAAGTCTTTTGCCAATACTACATGTGCAGAGATTTTTTACTCAACATACATTTTACTTCTTTTCTAGTAGGTGGGAACTTTGTGCTGCCATTGAAGCTGCCGAGACATTCATCTACTTAATGAACAAAAGAAGCTGTAACAATGGATCTCTGTTCCAATTCACCTAAAATAATTATAGCCATTTTGTAATATATTATTCAACACACACATTATACAGTGGTTTTCTTAATAAATTGGAAATTACTTACCTCTAAAAAGAAACGTGTACAAAAACGCTAGTTTGGTTCCAGAAACTGCTTCATGCAAAAAATTGTATGCGAAAATAAACATTGCCCCCTAAAAAAATAATTAAACAACAAAATCAGACTCAAAATAATAAACGACGCCCAAATTAAATTAATTTTAATAAAATGCACACGTTCATAACAACATTCATAACATTGTCAGTTGTCAGTTCTAATCACACACGTCGACTTCAAAAAACCAGTAACATCAGCGACCTCTAGGGCTGGTGTTAGTTTTATTGGATAGAGATAAATATATTATATAAAGATCAATGTAAAAGAGAAAGAAAGTCATATATGTAATTTGAATGGACCACCGAAAAAAAAATTCCTATTAAGTTACACCTCTCAGTGTAGTAAATAAAAAAAAAAAACAAGTATATAAGAAACGAAAAATTAACATTTTTCTACCCAAATTAGAAAGTAAACAAAGAATAAAAACAATAACATTTTTAATATACATATACTTAACGTACGGAAACAAAAAAGAAACCAATGAAAAATAATAGGTATTTCTTTTAGATCAGTCTGAATCAGATAATTCAAATACGTTGTATTTGGCATGCATGTTCTTTTTATGATGCCCTATTAATTATTTGTTGCATTTTAAATAAAAACATAATGATCATCTTGAGGTTTTTTTTATGGAGCAAACCTACAGTAGTGGATGCTTATTGCGCTGCTTTTACTTCAGCAAATTTACTAGAGAAAAATTCTTTGACCATTTGCTGAAGAATGAGGCAAACTTAATAAATTAAGAACAACATTTGTTGAGTTGGCGGAAACAGTAGATTTCATGCCTAAAACAGGAGAACAGAGACCAAAACAGTGGATCTACTTAAAAACAGTAGGTCTGGCAACACTGGATCGTTCCCTCAAATTGTCGTCTGCGGTTGTCGTGTGGCCTGTCTCCTTGCTTCCCAAATGTGTAAATGCATCTGTCCCCTTTGCCGTCTGTCGTCTGTTGCGCCTTCCGAAATGGTACCTTAAAAGCAACCAGTACCGAACATGTACCGAATGAATTGCTCCATGGACGAAGTCGAGTTTTGTGGTTTTTTTTGTACTTCGGTGCCGCTTCTTCAGAAAAACCTATGGGGGCCCCCAACAACTCCAGAGCCTAGACAGACAACCACCAGGTGAGTCCCCCGTGTAATATCGGCCTATTCAGATTTTTTTATTATGAACAAACATTCATATTTTTATAACGCCACCTATTAGAGGCTGTCATCGTTCCCTAGCAATCCAGAATTGAGCTATTTTAGGGTATATTTTACAAAAATAATCAAATTGGTTTACAGCGATTAAGAAAAAGTGCAAATATTTACCTACGTTATATTTTATTCTTTATGTAGATTAAAATTATTGATTGTCCTTTATTTACTATTTTCAGAAAAGCTAATTAGTTTACAGCTAGTAAAAAGATGTGCAAATATTTACCTATGTTATTTTATTAATCTTTACATAGGTTAAAATTATTGATTCTGCTCTGTTTCCCTACTATTTTCCGGAAAGCTAATTGCCAATGCAAAATTGCTGCTGTTTCAAACGTTGTATACATATTAATCCTCGATGAAACGCATAAATTACTTTGACGACACCAGGCATTTGCAAATCACTTTGTCCCTATTAGCAGTTACAAACATAATATAGATGCTCGAAGTGAAACTCCTGGATGAATTCAAAGTAAAGTATAGTATTTCAAAGGGATGCAGCTAATACGCTATATTAATTTTATACGAGAGTAGTTACTGTCATAAAGTAAATAAACAATTTTGTAAATCAATTATTATTGTGACGTAATGTGACGTAATGGTCAAAAGACGAGTTTTCGCACAGCCCACAGTATACATTTTCTCTAAACATCTTTGGCATTAAAAAATTGAAGTTTTATTAGAAATTAATTCCTCCGATCTTTGTTTACTTGCTTGTTGAATGTATTACTTGACGGAATGGGACGTTTCGATGCAGCCGTTTCGACGCCGGCCGATTCGAAGCCGGGCCGTTTCGACGCCAATAAATTATTCAAAAAAATATTTGAAATGTCTATTTTTTGCAGATCTATTCTTTGTATATAATTGGGGTAATTTATCTTGTTCCTTAAATATTTGCAGTAAGCATTGATAGCTGTAGTAAATATGTACCCATTAGCTGGCTTATATTCTCATTTCTACGAAAGGCATAAACAATTAATTCCTAAAAATTAGACACCTAAGAGGATTTTTAATGAATTACCTAAATATTAATA